AATTTCCAATTCGGTCCAGTGCGGCTCCGGCATAACAGGTGCCGTGAACCCCTTCAAGCCATCGCAAATAGCCTATACAGCCGCGTATGTGAGGTCGTGGGATACAGCATCCTTGTGCTTGTCGGTCAAAGGCGTAGTGCAACCGTGAAACACATGTTCTCTCACTCGTTTAATCGTCACGGAATAGACATCTGTACACATTCAAGCAAACGTAAAACTGCTGTTTACATTGGTGGCTAAGCTCGACAAAATACTAAACGCCAGCATGTGGTCCAAATCTTGCCCTAAAAATAGATGACAAAAAGTATTTCTAATGCCTTAAGAGTACCAAGCGCGATTCATGTCTGCAAAATTTGATAGTCGCCCGGAAGCAAAACAGATTTTCGATCTGTATTATAGACTACATGTTTAAGTTCCTATCAACTAAGCATCGCAAGAGACAGCAGACTGCCGGGGAAGCTCTCCTTGTAGCGCTGACACTTTCTAGTAGAGCAGCCGAGGAAAGATGCTTGTTCCCAGTGGTTGGGATTCGAAAGCCAAATATGCTATAGAGCAAAAGAACTTGGCCACACTCAGGGCGCAAATCATATCTTAAGCCCAATTGAATAACTGAAAGTAGGCAAGTAAGAAAATTCGCAGGCGACTGCGGAAGACGACTGTATAATATATTCCACTGTCCCAAATCTCAACTTCGTTCGGCAGGTTAAGGAAATTGGACCAAAAAAGGAAGTATGCAAAAAACGCATCCTCGTGATTGGCACAGAGTGGAAGGTAGATAAGCGCACCAACTACCGCTCTACTGAGACAGACGACACACTTGCAGGCGGCATAGCAAGATGGTCAGGTCCAGATGCCAAAGCCGATGCATTTTGATAAAGTAAGGTCGAGGATCACATCAAATCTGTTCCATTACCCATCTGATGGATGTTTTGCCAACCTACTTCTTCTGCGCTAGGCTAAAGTCATATAGTATATGTATACAAATACTAAATTAAAGGAACGAATTGACACAGATTTTTTAAATGTCAATCGATAGTGGGAATCTGTGGGGGGCAGGGCATGGCATGTTAACTTTAGTGAACGGCAATCTGAATGAAAAGGGAACATGACAGTAGCATGGGCTTACTCTTTGCGACGTTGCCACACTCGGGGTCAGCGGCAATGATGACCGAAAACCTGGCACCACAGAAGAACGAACACCTGGCTGCAGGGAAGTTTCCGTCAGCATGGGATTCCCGCCATTGACGGTACGCTGCAGAAGAGAGGGTACGAAGTTGTTCTCACTGTGAGCACCAGAACCATTACCGCCACCACCATTGGCGTTACGTTTCTGCCTATAATCCGTTAGTGGAAGCGAGTATTTCGTCCTGCCTAGAGGTGACAGGTCACCTGGGTCCTCTGAAGGGGACCTCCGTGTAGCACAGGTAGCGGGAAAAAGGGGGCGATAGGAAGAACAGATACTCGGAGACGTCGAAGTGACTGCAGGAACACGAGGTGTTTGTGCCTGCAAAGGCATCTTCTTCAGGGAATCTGGATGTGTCAGCAGAGAACCCGGTCGCTTGGAGGAGGCAGGGACTAAAATGTATAAGCATTGTCTCTTGTACGATGCATTTTCAATTACGGTTGATCATTGAGACAGACCAGACAAACGATAGCCCTCATTGGCAGCACACAAACCCTCAACGATCCGGCATTCAACCGTTCAAATCAACAGTCAAACAAGTGTAAACAGGGTCCAGCGTAACTGACCTGTGGAGGGTAACACGGATGGTATGGCGAGCATAGGAGAAACGGGAACATCTGCGCTCAAAGCAGCGCCGTAGTCAGTATGCGTCATACCCTCCAGGGTGGTGAGGGAGGCTGAGAGGCGGGCATTGACAGACTTCAGGTGTTCACGTTTCGACTGCAAACGCAGCAACTTTGCTTCGAGAGTGTCGTTTTCTGTCTTCAGTTGATGCAGACAGTTGAGCAGAGTAACAACTGGGCGCAGTGACGAATAATAAAGACAGAAGCCCGGTAGTAAAGTAAACTCATGAACAAGGCAATATATACATAGAGTGAATGAAGGAAAAATTGAAGGAATGGTCGCATTCACCAGGCGTAGTAAAGTGTACGCTTTTTCAATCCAAGACTCGTCATTCAGCAGTAAAAGAACAAATTCCCTGTAGGGACACAATCTTAGTAAAAAAAACGGACTTTTTGGAAAAGCGCTAATTAGTCAGTGCAGTCGGGAGTCGAAGTCTTTACATTTTAGTTCAACATCTTAGTTAAAGTGACGGTTAATACTTCAAAACAGAATAACGGACACTTGACTCCGCGTTTGAAGGGAAAGATTAAGAACGTGAGCGGTCCGACAGTCTTCGGTTTCTGGGGGTTAAACGGGTGGCCTCAAAATGAAGAGCATTAACTACCCTGGTCCAGGATGATGTGCAATCTGCGGTAGGTGGATGCAGAACTAGTGCAAGCAGAAACAAGTAAAAAGGTGAGCCTTAATCCCGAAATAAACATTTTCTAAGAAGTTATCCATCTTCACTACCTCGGTAAATCTAGGCTTCTCGACCTGCACAAACAAGCCGGACACCAGGAGCGCAACCACCATTGCTACTAAGCGAGTCACAATTCTAGATGATGTGGCAGTACAATTGTGCTTACCCGCTGTCTACCCAAGGACCAAAAATAAAACATCTGTACTTTAGCTGTATTTGGCATGGCTGTGATTACGCCTGCTCTAGCTGACCCCGATGATGTTCTATAGTGTACGTCTTCACGTGTAACGACTTGCGGCACCTGATCTGGACAGCTCAACCCATTCTCTCCTTCAGCGACGGAGACGGAAAACCGAAGGTCCAAGAAGATCGCGAACTAGTAGCGGCAGCGTTACCAGGGCGATGAGAGCTGCGAGATCTGGCAGACCGACTGCTTTATTAAGTGCCACAAATTCTGATGACAAAACAGTGGCATGGCGAGCATAAACCGCCATTAAATAAGTTTGCTTGCCACCGCTGCCCTGTGGTTAGGTTCTTAAGCCAAAGCCCTAGAGGAGACAACCTTGAACAAATAGTCCGAGCGGCTGTTGAGGATACGCTTGTATTCAAATTCCCCACGAAACCTCGGGCAAAAATGCCTAACTGCAGTACGAAGTTAAATGTGCCTTGAATGAAGTCGCCGTTTCCCCATGCAATAATGCTGTGTATGTACGCCAATCTGAGCTACTTTGACTGGCACAAACGCAATACCTTAGTCAGAAACAGTCAATGATCTATAATAACTGCTGATGCAAACGTGAACTGAAAAAGACGACGAGCATAGGGTGTGCTTCCGTTAACCCAAGTTATAGATGGGCGAACCCAACACCGAAGGTTTTACATGCCTCCCCACCTGCCCTTCAAACAAACAGAATGAAATAAAGAGGACAATAGGTCTAAACGGATGACCATCCGGCAGTTGGTTACTCACCATCCGTATTTTCAGCCTGCTGCATCAGCAGTGTTCCTCCTTGCTCCCACTGCCACTCCAGGAGGTACTGCATCGTCGAGGT